AATTAACAGTGATGGATTTATTTTTCTTTCATATTAAGTCTGATCTGTATATCTATAGCACATCTCAGTTCAGACACTGAATTCACCAAGAACCTGCAATCTGTATTTTCAGGTTTCATAAAATTGACAGTTGAAAAAGTCCATCACATGTCCACGTTGTTCCAAACATACTTCGAAATTTTCCAACTGCCAAATCGAGTATTGTTTTTTTTCATTTAAATTAATTGAAGTAAAAGATTTTAAAGTTTAGCCCACTGGCCCTTTGTTAAGGGTCCAGCCACAGGCTAGTGGCCATCTGACCTGATGGCAAGGGCCATCGTGAGCCCCTCTCCTCACCTGAGAAGGAAACTCTGCTCCACTCCCTCCTCCTGCCCCCACGGAGTCAAAACAAGAATCTTGAGTTTTGGTTGCCAGAGTGGACAGGATTCCCTTGTTTGACCCACAGAACCAGAGGGAGTTCCAGCCGCTGGCTCCCTGCCGCCCCCTTGTGGCCATCCATGTTCTGACACTTCAATGGGAAAAGGGGGTCTGGCCCTCCTACTAATGGCTGCGGGCTGTGCTAAGCTACCACTGGAAGTGTAGCCAGGTCAGAGAAAGGGCCCGACCTCTCCTCCATCTACCCTCTTCCATGCACAGTCTGCTCCTCACCTCACCCCTCCAGTGCCTGCTGATGTAGGGTGCTTCTAGGGACCCTATACAGATATTCCTACTGAGCATGCTCCACCTTTTCCAAATCCAGAGAAACCTGGCTGTTGACCCTCACCCTGAGCACTGGGTGTATTTCTGGGCTTGAGTGCATTTCTCAGGTGTGATTCTATTATCAGCTCCACCCAGCATCAAGAAGTGTAAATCGGAGTCATGGACCAGAATCCTGGTTTGGTCTTAGGGAGAAAAAAATGAGGGGGATCTTCTTTTTACTTACCTGTGTTCCCTGAGCAGGGGGGGATATGTGAGACCCCCCTGCCCCCCGCTTTGCGAATGCCACCTCCTGGACATGTGCCACATATTTAGGATCTTAGTGAGGCATGAAGGAATGGGATCGGAACAGGGAGAGGAGCGCTCCCTGGTGAGTCCTCTGAGAAAGGGCTCTGCAGTCCTTGCACTTGGGAGAGCTGTCACTTTTCTGCAGACCTTTCTGCCCGTCCACAGTCTTGCTCTTGTGATCTGCAAGGAGGTGTCTGTCAACCAGGCACCATGGCAACCAGAGTTGTAGCTGATGAATGGAATGAAAGGCAACAGGCAACAGAGGCAGGACCAGGGCTAAAATGAATTAGCACCTATCAACTCATGTCCCCCTCAGAACCTCCCCACAGAGAGGGGCTGTTGCCATCCCACCCATAACAGAGACTAAGCCTTCCGAGGACACCTGCCCGCAGCAAGGCTGACAGACCTGCCCTTGACCGTGCCACCTTCATCCCGGGGAGGCCGACTGTGGGCCGATTCCGAATGCTCATTCCCTCCACAGCATGTTAGGTTTTGGGGCTCGAGGCAGAGGGCTGTGAGGGAGCTAGCCAGGTAAGCCTCTGACCCTCGGCATCCAGTCACAGACTCTGAATCTGCACCCCCACCCTGCTCCTCACCCCTCCAGCACAGGGTGGAGGTTGTTCAGGTTTGTTCTCTTGCAAAGTCAGTGCTCCTTTGTGTCTCTGCCCATAGCCCAGGGCAGCATGTCTGTTACTGAGCGCAGAGGAAAAGGAAATTGCCTTTAAAAGAGCAGGGGACACGGAGATGCTGGTCAGGAACCAGGAATGGAGGGAGGAGGGACACCATCACCTCAATCCTCCCAGTGCCCTGTCCATGCTCTGCAGAAGTGGGCACACGATATCCCCCAGTCATTTGGCATCTGGAAACCAGGCAAGGAACGAAGATGGGTTTACAGTTTTTTCAACAGTGAGCAGCTGAGCCATCATTCTCCTTCTCCATAAGCCTCAGGTTGCAGCAAAGAGCAGGTGCTGCAGGTTGGCTAGGAAACTGGGCAAGGGGTGGAGGGAGAAGGCGGAGAGCAGCGGGCCTGGGCAGTGCCCACACGCAGGCATTGATCAGTGACCTCAGCCAGCCCTTGCACCCGAACATCTGGCACTGATGGGAACAGCGTCTGTCTCCACTGTCCCATGCAGCCGCCACTGGTAGAGCAGAGAGGCCCAGAAAGTCCGGGAACCCAACTTCTTCCCACACCAAGGATGCTCATCTCCTGTCCTTCCTGTGGTGGTTATTACACTCGGGGCCCAAGGGCAATGACCACTCATGGCGTCCACTGAGCTCTCACTGGCCCACACACTTCACAGAAAGGCTTCCAGGCGCACTTCTCTGGCTCTCTTGAGCAGATCCAGGCATCTCTCCACTTCAAGATTGTTTCTTTAATACCACACACCCAGGTGACACAGATATATGACAAATTCTATCCTTGAGTCTCCTCTTTAAATTCTACAAAGGGAGGGAGCTAGACTGAGAGGACACCCAGCTCACTTTGTCATTCTTCAGAGAGAGATTCTGGCCAAACCCATCTTGTCTGCTGGCTAGAAAGATACTTTCCTGGCATCCAGGTGGCCTAACATAGCCCCCCAGTCTACCTGAGCCGCAAGTCCTGAGAACCCCAACATCCCTTCCACTCCTCTAAGCAAAGTTGCAATATCCAGGGCATCCAGACACACAGAGAATAGGAACGGATGGAACCAAGCAAATTCCAGATTTTTCTATTGCTTACAGCCCCTACAAATTAGCACCAGGACATGTCCTGTGGCTGTCAGTATCTTCCGCCATCTACTGGCCATGGGAGGTATTGACCTATTGGATGACCAGTTTCTAGACTCCACTATGGTTAAGTCCTTTCCCTACAGTTCCGGGCCGAGCTGCTCCGTCTGGAAGCCCATTTTGGTACCCCACCGAAGTCCATTTTCTCATAAAGAAATAACCCAGGAGTTCTCGGTCTACATGTTGCTTCTGGTTTTATTTAAAATGCAAATCCTTCCAAAAGTGAAAGCCTAGGTATAACTTGGCCACAAAGTAGCTGAATAGGGCTAGCTGGCTCCAGTGTCCCAGCTCTGGCTCCCTTTCCAGCCCTTTAATCTCCATGGCTCAGCTCCAAGTTTCCACTGTCTCTCTGAAGCCTACAGGTGACCACAAGACCTTGATTAGTATCTCTGATACTCAACTCCCCGCTGCCTAAGTAGGTCCCATGGGGTTAAGTGGCACCAGAATCCTGGAGCACATCAAAACCTGAAGCCTGCCCCTCAGAAGGGACCCAACTGGGGAGGGCAGGTCCCCAGGATCACCCCCTCCCCACCCCACATAGTGAAGCCCAGGAAGGAGACGGGTTTGCAAAAGTTTTTTGAGTTCCTTAAGGAAGATGGAAGAGCCCCCAAACAGCTGTGATCCTCCCTGCATCACACCCCATCTTCGCTCCCCCCATTACCATGAGAAGCTGGTGGACCCAAACCACTCTTGGCTGTACCCCACCTCCAGGCACATCACTGTGCTGATTCATCATCACAGCAACTTCTGATTAAAAAGCCAGGCATTGAGCCAACAAGAGCTGGCCAAAAGTGGGAGGTGTTTGTGTTGAATTTTGCTCAGAGAGAATCTACCCACTGCGGCGCTATTTGTTCTCTCCAGTCACCTTCCTCTCTTGTAACCACTTCCTTTCCTCTGCTGCTCCAGTACCAGAGTCCTCTTCTGGGCTGGGACCTTCACTGCTAAGGCCTTAAAGACAGGATGCCAATACAATTGCACTAGACAAACACTGAACCAAGGTGCAAACAGGTGCTCGTGTGCATTCTGCCACCTGGCCTGGTAAACCAGGTCTCCCAGTGCCTCCCTGAACACGCACTGAAACTTCCACTGAGCTGGCAGCTCTGAGGTCCGGTCCAAGTTCAACACCCACAGTATCTTCCCACCTCCTTGTTTTCTACCCTTTGTATTCCACATACCCCTCACCATCGCAGGTCCTGGGGAACCCAGCGGCATTGGTAGAGGACAGGAATTTTCTTGCCCTGCTTGAGTTATCGTGGCCACCCTAAAACACTAGTTCCTGCGGGTAGAATTTGAAAAGCAGAGAGCGCAATGACGGCCGGCTTTTCCCACCCTACCCCTGTCCCTGCTCTCACGTGGCCAGCAGGGAGAGCCACGAGATGCCTCCCCACCCTGTGCCAAGGCTGGCAGGGTCAAGGAGCCAAGCACACGGGATCGAGGGGAAGGTGCTGTGGGGTGAGAATTGGGTACAAGAGAAAGGTCAGGCAGGAGACTACCAGACTAACAAATAAGTGAGTAAAGTCCGACTTTAAAGGTCCTGCAAGTCAGCTAAGTATAGACTGTCACCAAGTCACGCCTATATATAACCACTCCCACCCCAGCTGTCAGCCTCTCTGGGCCCGGAACTGAGTTATCCTTCAACCTGTCAGGGTTTCCGGGCATGAGGCACAGAGCTAGGTCGGAGCCAGGCTTCCCACCCCGCCATTGGCACTCTCACAACCCCCGTTAGTCCAACCACTCCCAAAACTCCTGCCCTCACTCCCTAAGTACTAACTTATCTCTGCTCCCAGCAATGCTAAAAGCACACAGATCTTCCAGAGGACGGACATCACCTTTCTGGTCCACGCCTTGTCTGACCCTCCACCAGCCCCCCCATCTTCCTGCCACAGCCCCGATCTCCAGACTGTCTGGTTATCAGCCCCCTCCAGCTACCACCCCCTCTCTTCAGTCTCCCACCAAGCAACAACCCTCTCAAAGATGCTCCCCCGACCCTGCCCCCTGAATATTCCTTCCTTTCTCTCAAAGAGCCCCTCCTCAGTCCCCTTGGCTTTTCCAAGAGTGTTCCACTCTCCACTCAGGGCCCACAGTCCTCCCCACCCCACTCCCCGCACCCACATATTTGTTGCTGCCTCCCTGATTCCAGTCTCCCTGCTTTCCCCAGTCAGTACCCCAAATCCTCACCCCGAATTCCAAGTCTAGCGTCTGGCGCCTCCACACCCTTTTGCTCAGCCCGCTCTCCCCCTTTCCACTAGCAGAGAGAGACTCCCGTGAGCAGGAGGAGCCCACCACCTCCGAGATGGCCGAGGAGACCTACGCCCCCAAGATCTTCCGGCCCAAGCACACCCGCATCTCCGAGCTGAAGGCCGAGGCAGTGAAGAAGGACCGCAGAAAGAAGCTGACCCAGTCCAAGTTTGTGGGGGGCGCTGAGAACACTGCCCACCCCCGCGTCATCTCTGCACCTGAGATGAGACAGGAATCTGAGCAGGTGAGTCAGGATGCCTCGCCCGCCTCCTCCCTCTGCCACAGCTGCCTGCAGCCTCGGCCAGGCCGCCCCTGTACTTCCCACCTTGCCTGAGGCCGATGGGACTCCTGACAGCAGGCCGCTGGGCTGGTCCCGGCCACGGACCTAGCGCTTAGCAAGGCAGCTTGGCTTTGGATTCAGGAGGGGTGCAGAGCTTCCATTTGCTCTCAGAGGGACACAGCAAGCCTCAGGGGGCACACAGCAGGCCGGGATTTACAGCACCAGCTGACCCTTCTCAAGAGCACCCAGAGGGTCCTGGTCTTCATTTCCCGGCAGAATGGAGACGCTGAGGGTGGGCAGCCTGGAGGACAAGTGGGACATTGGCCCCCTCTGGCCCTCCCTCGTCAGAGGCACCCGGGAGCTCATAACAGGCAGGGGAGAGAGGAAGGATCTGTAATAGCAACTCGCCCGAGCCACATACTTGCAGTCACCCGCCTGATTGCGCATGCGGGTGGCTTCTGCCTCGCTGGCCTCTCACCCCACCCTCCGTCCTCTGCACACAGGGTCCTTGCCGCAGACACATGGAGGCCTCCCTGCAGGAGCTCAAGGCCAGCCCCCGCATGGTGCCCCGGGCTGTGTACCTGCCCAACTGTGACCGCAAAGGATTCTACAAGAGAAAGCAGGTGCGCCCCCAGTCCGACCATCCCAGTGCAGAGGGCCCCTGAAGTGGCAGTTATGGGAACCTCAATTTCTAGCCTTAACAGCAGTGTTCCGGGACCCTCCGACATCTGCCACACCCCACGGCCTCCCAGCCTATCGCCTACTTTTTTTTTTTAAAGATTGATTTATGTATGCTTACAGAACTGGGGTACAGGCCAGAGGTGTGGCGGGTGAGAGGATTCACCAGAGTGGGGAACAGAACAGGCAGATTGACGAAATACACTGAGGGGAGCAGCGGGCGGGTCAGGAGAGGTCTGCTGCGCCATGTGGGTCAGCTCCCTGGCAGGGATCGAACCTGTGCTGCAGTGGCTTGGGAGAGCCACGGGTTAATGCGGAGCTTTAACCCGTTGAGCCATCAGGGAGAGCCCTTACCGCCTACTTTTTACAGTCTATCTCACTTGAGGGGAACTTTATGCACACCCCCATTGTCTGTGCTGTTAACAGCTTTGCTGGTGCAGACACACCCACTCAGGTGTATACACCTAGGCGACTTTACGACAGATTTTTACCTGCGCCACCTGAAATCATTTCACGCCTAGTCCAGCTCAGGCTACACTTTGGGCAGCCCTCCTGTGGGTTAGGCGGGAGTTCTTACTAAAGGGCAACCCCTGACCTCCAGGCAGTGGCCCTGAAACTGCCCAGGGCATGGCAGTGGGCCCAAAGGACTTGTGGCCACAGCCCAGAGCTTCTGACTGGCAGGTCTGGGAGGGATAGGGAGTTTTGCATTTCCAATGTTCCCATGACTCTACTATTCCATAGTGGGGTCCCTCAGGGAGGCTAGGGGTTCAGAGGCAGGTGGCCTGAGGTCAACCCTCGACTGCCACTTACCAGATGAGTCCCTCTACTCCGCTGCTTCCCGTGTTGGCTTCCTGAGAGACACTAATCGGCCCATTCTCCTCCACCATGAGGAAGAAGGGGTTCATCTTACAGCGCAGTGACCAGGACCAGCCACACAGGCACACCTCGTAGATAATGGCCAGTTCAGTTCCAGACCACTGCAAGAGAGCAAATATTGAAATGAAGCGTGTCTCGGGAATTTGTTGGTTTCCCAGAGCAGACAAAAGTCATGTTTACACTACACTATATTCTTTTTAGTGTTCAGTTGCATTCTGTTAGTGCTATTATATCCCTTAATTTAAAAGTCCTTCATTGCTTTAAAAAAAAACAAACCTTAATCATCATCTGAGAATTCTGCACGCCCTAATCTTTTTACTGGTGGCAGGTCTCATGATACACACAGTATCTGCAAAGCTCAATAAGGCCAAGGGTGGGATGGTGGTGTAGTTCGTGCTTAGTGGTGTCTGGTACATGATGAAGCTTATAAGCACTGCCTCCTACCACTAATTAGCAGCAGCAGCAGCAGCAGGTGACAGATCATGTAGCTAGCTCTCAGAGAATACCAAGTTGAATGGCATGGGTGTTATAAGAAGCCTGTGGGCGCTAGCCAGCGAGAGGGCACCGGAACCCCAGGGGTGGTTACTGCCCACTGGGTCTGGGCGTCTCTCTTAGTCTCAGGGGGGCAGGAAACACCAGAGCAGAGCCTGGGGCCCCATCACCCTCACCGCCTGTCGCTCTCCCCACCCCAGTGCAAGCCTTCCCGTGGCCGCAAACGCGGCATCTGCTGGTGCGTGGACAAGTATGGGATGAAGCTGCCGGGTATGGAGCACGTGGGGGACTTCCAGTGCCACACTTTCGACAGCAGCAATGTGGAGTGAAGCGTCCGCCCCCCTCCCCCCGCCCTCCCCTCCTGCCCCTCCCGCCCCCCAGCCCTGGCTCCAGCCAGCGCCTCCCTCCACCCAGGACGCCACTCATTTCATCTCATTGAAGGGAAAAAAATTACTTATATGTATCTTTTTTGAGGAAACTGAGGACCTCGGAATCTCTAGCAAGGTCTCAACTTTGAAAACAACAACAACAGAGATGCAGAAAGTTAAGGAGAACCCCCTTTAAAATGGTTTTCTGAGACAAGTCGGATGAACATGGGAGGGAAGAGAGAAAGAACAAAGGAAAGCAAAGGGCAGCGGGTGATTCAGTGCAGAAGAGAGGGAAAGGTGTGAGAGAAGTTAAGAAAAGGAGAAGGGCGTAGGCAGGGAGGCCAGGCCCCGGGACCAGGGCGGGACCCAGGCCGTGCACCCAGCCCTGAGCGAGCCTAGCCGAGCGCATCCCGGGGGTCTGGGCACCAGGGGCCCCGGCCAGGTGAGGCATTGCAGGCCAACTTGGGGTTTCCCCTCTGTGAGTTGGTCACATGGGAGAAAAGAAAAGACCCGAGTGCCTGCACCCAGCCTCTCTCTCTGTCCTGCAATCAGCAATTTGGAAGGCTTGAACCCTCTTCTTTCTCTCCTCTGATCCAGCAGAATGTTCTCCCTCCCCGAAATTTATGAAAACTGAAATGCATTCCACTCCTCCCAAAGCAAATGAGTAACTGAAATTATTCGATAGACGAGTTTTCCTGTACATATCTCACTCCCGGGCAGACTTTCAGAAACCAACTGGCGCCCCAATAATGGAAAGACTTGTTCTCCCGGGGTGACTGAAATTACCTGCTGAAGCCAGTGATTTCGACCCCTGTAGTATTCAATTTGCAGACAGGACAGCCTCTGAGGGAGAAGCTGAGCTGAAAAAAAAAAAAAAAAAAAAAAAAAAGTGGGCCTGTATTTACCTACCGGGCTCCCTGTCGCCATATATAGGCATGTAAATCTCTCTTCTTTTTCTTTCTTCCTTCCTTTCTTTTAAACGTTTGCATTTACTTTCCAAAGTACTTCCTATAGAGGCATTGAAGAGCTTCCTCATTGTGGGAAAACCAAGAAAAATCATATTCCTGTGATGGGACATATTGTGGGGTGATTCCTCTGTGCCTTTGTGCACAAGGGCCTCCAGGCCAGGTAGATGAGGACTCCCAGGTGCCCCCATTTTGCTCCCAGGGTCCCCCCTCCAAAGGTAAAACAGGTAAGACGCCCGACGGGGCCTGGCCAGCCTTTTCGTGTCTTCTGGGCACCACCTGCCTTTTAAAGCCTCTCAGTCTTCAGACTGGTGAGCAGGAGACTGAGTGGGAATGGCATGGAGGCGACCAGAGGTGGCAAGCTGGAAGCAGGGAAAGAGCCAGTGACCGCTCAGGCCAGAGTAGATGGAGGGGTGGGTGGGAGGCACAGAAGGCTAGGGAAATGGGCTGGGGGGCTGACTGCCCCTTTTAGGGGCAACAAGAAAGGGGATGAGGCCAAGAGACATTTCCTTGGGTCCTCCCTTCATGAGCTCTCTGGGATTTGGGAGAAATGAGAGGAAAGAGAGGAGGGGAGGTTGTAAGAGAGAAATGAGCTTCATCCAGGCCTTTGAGCCCGAAGTGAGCCCTAGACATTAGCAGCTGAAAAGGAGAGAGGATCGTAGAGAATGGTCGGTCATGCTTTGGAAGACGAGATACCTTGCCTTGCCAGGAGGCTCCCTTCACCCTGTCTGAGGAAAGGAGGCCAAAGAGTCTTTCAAGCTCTTCATCCACTCTGGCCAGTTCACGCTTCCTCCCTGGGGTGGAGGATGGAAGAAAGGCGCAGGGAAGGGATACTTTGGGGGTGCTGTCATTGGCAGCCGGATTCTGAACTAAGAAAAACCCCATTCTCCACTGGCTTTCTCAACACATGGGAGGCCTTGAAGCTGCCCTCCGAGGCTGGAGGCAGCCTGCAGGGGGAGGGGCTTCGACACGGGCAGAGGAGCCTCTTCTTGCTGTGAACAGCCTCTCCGTCTGCCCTGATGGCCTGACACCATGCGATAACCTCCAACACCAGACTCGGGGCAGCAGAGAGGAACCTCAAAGAAGTACGTACATTTGAAGCCGTGGATATTTGTAGCAGTAGAACTTGGGGACTGTCTCCCACTGTCCCAGATGGACAGTGACAAACAATGAGAGGAGAGGTCAGTCTTCTTGGCACAGGGCCCAGTGGAGGAGGCAGCCATGAGGACTCACCAAGGCGCCATGTCATCGCCCCCATCTCGGCACAACTCTCCCCAGCTCACATCTCTGTCTTAGGCCAGTATCCTAACCTTGCCCCCCACCACTCTTCTTTCTGCCCATTCTTCCTTTGGATCGTGAGTGGTCATCCAACTGAGATCTGCCAATGGATACTGGGGTACCATTCCCCCTAAGAAAAGACTGAGCCAGGAACTGCATGCCCCACCCTCAACCCTTCCAAGGCCTGGACTTGGTTCCCGAGGGGCTTCCCCCCAGCCCGCCCCCCCCACCCCCCGGCCCTGCTGTTACCGGACTTGACATTGGCTCTTTGCTGCAGCCCTGAGTTGCGGAACTTTGTTCTGGTTGACCCTGCCAGAGTCATCAGCGTTCCACAGTTCATGTCAACTCACCCACACCTGCCAGCATCTGCAGGAAGTGATTCTGGTACTACCATACCCCAGAGGAAGGTGGACCTCCATGACAGATTTCGGAACTAAACCTCCCAGGGGGGAGGTCTACCTGAGCCCAGAGTGGGGGCGGGTCAAGAGGAGGGAGCCGTGGAGGAAGATGGAGCCCCTCCCTTGGAGGGTGGGAGCACAGGCAGGTGTGGAAGGGCAGGGACTGGGAGCCACCACCTGCCCGCCTCTGCCATGGACTCCGGTTTCGGACCTCACTTCTAACGCACCCCCCCCCAATAGGAGGTCTCTGCCCGTCTCCCCTTTGATTCATGCCTCACTCAGGCAGTGGAGAATTCACCTGTGGTCCCCCACCCTTGCTGGGTGACTGAGGGAGACCTAACCAGGAGCGACACTCCTTCCCCCCAGGGCAGCATGACCCACCTGGGCTAACAGGGCACCTGGGAAGAGACTCGGAAGTTTCTCGACAGCCAGGCCTGGACGGACAGGCTTGGAGACATTCACCTCCACATGGCGAGGAAGGGCGGCCCTGTGTGGCCCTGCGTCTCCTCTCTCGTCCTCCCCCACATCCCGTCACCTGGGCTGTGTGTCCGCCGGCACCCTGCCCGGGGACAGCCTCTTCCCACCTCCTGGGAAGGCCCACCTCGTCCACCCCTCTCCCACCACCTGGCTAGTGAGTAGGGACAGGGCCGCCTCGGCCACCGCCAAGCCCCCTTCCCACCCATCCACTCAGCCCCCCAGAGAATGGGGACTCGGAGAGGTGTGGGCCCAGAAGCCACTCTGGCCAGGGGAGCAGCGTTTCAGCTTCCGAGAAGAAGGGAGGCCAAGCTGGAAAAGCAGCAGCACCAGCAGCCAGCCACCTCGGCCTTGTACTGTCTTGATTTTTAAAACCACTAAAGTGCAAGATTGCTTTTGCACTTTTCTCCACTTGTTTTTTCCTCGTAGATTTTTGTTTCTTTTGATAAACATGCTTCCTTGGTTTTCTAGTGGAGTATATAGTTTAGCCATTTACATAGATTCCAGCCTCCTCTCTTTAACTCCTTTTGGATGGGAAAGGGAAGGTGGGGAGGGTCAGATGAGGGGGGGCTCCCAGCCACCCTGCACCCACCCACCCCAGTCCCTGGTCCCGGCTGCCAGCCTGAGCCCCCCACATCTTCCACCACCACCACAGTCACACAGTAACCCACACGGATAGACGGTTGTCAGTCAAGATCCTTCAGATTCCGAGTTCCCTACCGGTTTGTTTAAGATAGCAGTAACCACAGCACATATTAACTGTAGTTCTTTATAGCACGTCATACCTACCAGAGGTCTATCCTCTCTTCCTTTTTTGTTTTCAACTTTTTTTTTTTTTTAAATAAGTGCTCATAATCTTTACTGGTGAAAAGGATGGAAAAACAAAACCAACAAACAATACTAGTTTGTGAAAAAAGTGGAAAAAAAAAAAAACCACCTGAATGCCAAGAGCTCGGTCTCCTGTTGAGCATTTTGTACCTAAGGAAATAAAAACAGAAAACAAAAACAGAGATCTCACGTTTTATTAAAAAAGTGAAGATTGCTGTATACTATTTATTCAACTTATAATTTATGTTACTCCTTGATCTTTGTCTTTTGTCATGACAAAGCATTTATTTAATAAAGTTATGCATTCAGTTAGCCTGCGTCAGCTTGCTCCGAGGGCCCGCCAGACACCTCACGGGGGGGTGGGGGGCAGGAGAGAGGCCAGGTGGAGGGAGGGCGAGGCCTGCTCCCCCCGCGGCGGGGGGATGGGGGGGAGCCCTAACCCACCCGCCTTTCCCTCCACAGCTTGGGTGCCCCTTCTCTGTCCCTTCAGTGAGCTCACTTTGACCACTCTTCGAAGGAAATAACCATCACATGTTCTGCTACTGTCATTATTATTGCCATTTAATCTCAGCCCCTGCTAGTAAGTAAAATGGCCCTACTCCACCCTTAAACAAATTTCAAGGAAGGCATTTCTAGAATGTTCCTCCATCATTTACTCCAGTGCTTTTGTAAGTACCACTGCTAGGCACCTCTGGCCAAGGCGAGGCCCACATCCTGCTCCCACCCAGCACCCCCTCCCGCCACCCAGTGTTCCAGCATAGAGGGTGCTGCTATGACAAGGCTCTTACTCTGATTCTAGCCTGCAGCGGCCTCAAGAGCAGAGCTCCCTGGGCCCTCCCTGGTGGCGCAGTGGGTTAAAGCACAGCACTGAGAATCTAAAGCCGCTTCCTCATGAGTTCGATCCCCGCCTGCTCCGGAGGTGACCACATGGCGTGGCAGACCTCTCCTGACCCGGCCCGCTGCTCCCCTCAGCGGTGTACTTTGACGATATATCTGTTCTGCTCCAGTCTGTCTCTGGTGAATCCTCTCACCCTCTGCATCTCTGACCTGTACCCCAGTTCTGTACTAATAAATAAATAAATCTTTAAAAAAAAAAAAAGGAGCAGAGCTCCCACCGCACACCCCCCCCCCCCCCCCCCCTCAGTTATCCCATTGCCTTCTACCCAGGTCCCTTCTCATAGTCTTCTCCCATCTGCACATCACCTCTTCATTCTCAGAGCCCAGAGCAACACACTGCCCTTCGTACACCCCCGACATCTCTGTCCAGCCACACTGCCTACTGGGTCGCCCCCCAACCTGATCTGACAAGGGCCTCCCAGGACATTGGCGCCACAGGGAAGAGGAACCCACTCATCTCCACTCTGTCCAGCTCCAGCCAAGTGGAGGAACTGGGAACCTCCCGGCCTGGAGAGGGGGGTCATTGGGCGTGCATCTTCTGAAGGGTGGAGGGAACTCATTCCCGCGACTTGGGGCCCACCAAGGAACACTGCCACATTTGCAGATTTGCATGGTCACCCACAGGCCTAGCAGTGAGTCAGAGGGTGGGGACACACTCCAGGACTGAGAACCCACACCTCCCCTGTCCGGTGAGGGGAGCTGATGTGTGAGGGTGAGGGGCAAGTCAAGGAGATTCCTCCACTCATGGTCCCCCAGCAACTTGAGCTCCACAGCTCCAAGTCTGGACTCACCCTGGACACTCAGGTGGTTTGTCTGGCTTAGCATTCATCTTGGACTATAAAGCTCAAGGTCAACGAGAACACAATCTGAACTCAGGTCCCCCTCCCCAGCCATCCCCTCCTTACCCCCCTCTTCCTCCTGTTATCTCAGAGAGACTCCAGAACCTCACACTCACATCTCACCTGGATCCCTGCAATTTCTTCCTGCCAGAACTCTCCGTGATGTCCTTTATTTTGGACATCTTGGCCAGAGTTCATGTCTAAACTATGGATCCATTTGCACCCACTCTCTGCCTAAATTCCTTCCCTGGCTCTAGAGAGCTCTTGGTCAAAGCCACATTCCTCCTCTAGACACTCCAGCTCTCCTCTGGTTTCCTGTTCAGCTCTGCCTCCCACTGGCCCTCCCTGTCCACAGGCCACCTCAGCCACATGCAGCTTTCCACATCACTGGAACGGCCTTTGCATTTCATCCTGTGCAGGCACACACACCACACGCCTTTTCCCAAATGGCTGCTCCCGCCTTCCAGCTCTGGGTTTCACTCCCCTGAGAGGCCTTCCCCTCCGAGACCCACATTCCTGGTCACTGTCCCCAGCACCTGGGCACACCACCCCCTCCGTCAGCCCCAGGAACCCCACCCTTGGGAGACCGCTTCCCTCCCTGAGAACGGCCACCTTTCAGCACAGTGACCGCCTTCATTTTCCTACCTCAAAACCCGGTCACGGAGCTGAGGATCCAAGAGTGATGACATTCAGGCCTCCCTGTGACAGAATTTGGTTTTATCTTCCCAAAACAATTCTTTGAGGTAGAAATTATTCCAACAATTGAAGATGAAACAAATGAGGTTCAGCGGTTGGACGTGTGTCCAAAGTCTCAAGAGCTGTGAGTATAAGCTCAAACCCCATCCGGATGCCGCAGCCTCTAAGCCCAGGCTCAGCATTCACACGGTACAGCTGGTGTGGGGACCCTGACAGCTGCCGGTTCCCCAGATGCAGAGATCAGAGCAGGCCAGCCTCGTGCCAGCAGCCTCTTGGCCACACAGGGCCCCGTGCTTGGTGTAATGCTCTTCTGGCTGTCCCTCTTAAAATTCAGGACTCTGTGTTCACTTTGCCCTGAATCCTGGAAGAGGCCCTCTAGAATGAGATGATGCAATAAATGAGAATGGCCCAGGAGGCCCCTTCCATGCAGGTCCCAGACCCGTAGCTCAGGCGGCCCAGCACAGGAGCCAAGATTCCCCAGGTGTGCAGGTGTGACAAGCGCCCTCCCCTCACTCCTGCTGGGCTCCTGGGGCCGACTCTTGAAACTAGATCCACACCCACACGCCCCGCTGCAGTACCCCAGGCAGCCACAGAGGGGCGGTAAAGCCCAGTGTTTGTCAACTGCCGCGCTTAAAATACAAGTAAAACTTTAAAAGACAGTAAGAAATAAAACACCTATACGTAAAAACAAAAGAGGTGCATTAATTGCAGATGGGCAGAGATCAGCTCGGCATCTTCAAGACCCCCGACCCCCGGCCAGCCATCTTCTCCCGCCAAGATTTGTAGATCACACTGCATCTAGTCAAGAGCCACAGCAAAGGCGTTGTTCATGTAGCTGCAAAATCCACCTCTTCGGAGGGTTGAGTACCAGGAGGTTATGGGCAAAGGACCTGGAAACGGGTGGGAAGAGGAGCCCTCCAGAGCACTCTGCTTTAGCCGAGGGCTTTGGCAAGCGTGGAGCGTGGGGACTTGGTGGGGACTGACCCTCCAGCTGCCCCCGTGATAAGCCCTCCCATCTTACACCGCCCTAAGCTTTCAGAGCTCATTTACACCCACCGCCTCGCCTGGCATCATCCCCGTTAGACAGACAGGACAAGTGAGACTCGGAGAGGTCGCGGGTGTAGCTCCTGAGCGGTGGGATAGTAGGTGCGGGCGGGATTCACACCAGGTGTCCCGACTTCAGCATCCTCGCCTCATCCCCACGCAGCGTTAGAAACGTCTGGGACCTTCAAAGGGAAGCACCTTCCCTGCCTGAGCGCTCGGACCACGCAGACCTGAATCTCCGACGCGGGGCATTGGCATGAGTATCTATTTTTGCACACGCCCGGGTCCGTGCAAATGTTAGAAGCCCTGCGCTTCCCCAAGGGAGCCAGCCCGGGCGGCCCAGCCCCGAGACGGCAGTCACCGGCTACTGACCTCAGCTGAGGGCACAGGAGAGGGGTAGCGACCCGGCAGCTGGGTAGAAGAAAATGCAGCCCCCCAGAGGGACCGCAGGCGTCCCACCCCGCGCCGATCCACCCGCCTGCGGCTCCCCGCGTTCCAGCCTCTCACAAGCCGCGCGCCCCGCTCCGGCCCGTAGGGGGCAGCATCGCTGAGGGGTGAGCCGCATCTTCGCCCTGAAGGTAAGAGATGCTGAACTGACCTCCACCAAGGGACTGAATGGTCTGCTGGCCACTCAGCCTAGGACATGGAGCTGCCACCGTGGGGTCATGATTCTCTTCTCCTCCAAGAACCTCTCCTCACTCCTGGCCCTGCCCAGCCTCAGCCTCTGCAGATGCGTTGGGAGGTGGCTTGCTCTAGCCACCTCCTGGCCCCGCCTCGGTGGCACGAAGGGTTTAGACCCGAGAAGGGGCTCGCTGGAGGGCCAATGCGGGGTACAGACAGCAGCAGGCCTATAAAGGCTGAGACCCCTTCCCAATTTCCATTGCAAAGTTGGGGTGGCCCTGGAACCCCCCAGGGGTGTGGGAGCCAAAAGAAAGAGCAGGCAGAGCTCACACACGCGCAGCGTTTTGTTTCAGAAACAGGGCAGGCTCTGTGCTCCCCCTTCCACACCCTTTCGCTTGTCCTCCAGTGTGTGGGGCACGTGCCGGTGCCCTGCCTTAGCTGGGCACTCAGACGACAGGCCTCAGTCCTCAGGCCACACCAGTGTGGACTGGCCACAGCCCTCCTCTCTCCTCATTGCTGTCTCTTCTCCCTCCCACGGGAGGACCCTCTTCTTCGTTTTAGGGGCCAGGAGCTCCCAATTCCAATGTCACCCTGTTGCCTTGCCCCTTTGCAGTGTCGCCTAGCTATGGGACAAGACACCAGCTGTCTCCTTTCTTCCCCCTAGAGCCCACACGGGGTGGGGGGGGCAGGCTTCAGCTGGGAGACACAGGCTACCAGACTGACCTGGGGGTGGGGGCTGGGGGCGGTCTCAGCTGGACTCAGGGCTGTGCCATAGGCCAGTGTCTTTCCTAGGCGACAGCGTGAGGCTGTGTTCACCCCTTGTGCAAGGAGTCAGGGGGAAGATGGAGGGAAGGAGACACAGCAGACCCCAAGGATCTCGTTCCCTGGAACTCCAAAAGCTCAGACAAAACACACACACAGGCCCTCCCTGGTGGCGCAGCCGGTTAAAGCACAGCACTGAGAATCTAAAGCCGCTTCCGCATGAGTTTGATTCCCGCCTGCCCTGGAGGTGACCACATGGCGCGGCAGACCTCTCCTGACCCGCCCGCTGCTCCCCTCAGCAGTGTACTTCGTCGATCTGCCTGTTCTGCTCCCCACTCTGTCTCTGGTGAAGCCTCTCACCACACCTGCACCTCTGGCCTGTACCCCAGTTCTGTATGCACAAATAAATAAATCTTAAAAGAAAAAAAAAAGCACGCACACGTTTTATTTTTCTTTCTTTTAATCTTAAGCAAAAGAGACACAGGGGGTTCAAAAATAAAAATTTCTTCCCCCCTCCCAAACCTCGTCCCCAGCTCCGCCACTGCAACCACCCCTCCTTCCCAGTTGGGACAGAGAAAGGGGTGGCAGGTATCTCCAGCTGGGGAGGGGGAGGGGGAAGGAGGGGTGCCAAGCTCGGTGCTGGTCTCTTTCCAAATATAAATACACTTGTCAAAACTCCTGGAAAACCCTCCCTGCCCACGACGCAAGCTCTCCCCTCTCTGCCGTGTTGGCGAGAGGGGGTGGAGGCAGGGGGTGCCCGGCACCGGCTGGCTATGGTTTACTGCATCCGTTGGGTGTGTACCCCACGAGCCCCCTGCTGCTCATTATAGTAGAGATGACACTGGGGGTCCCCCCGGATGGTGGGGGCTCCCTGGATCAGCTTCCCGGTGTTGGGGTTCACACACCAGCACTCCCCACGCTGCCCGTTCAGGGACATCTTGCACTGGGGAGAGAAGAAGACACCATGAAGGACACTCCCCACACCGGCTTTCCTGCCTTCCCTCAACCCAGCTGACGTGTGTGCTGACCCGGGGCCCACGGACGACTGTGCTCTTGCTGAATGCAGATGGCTATCCATGTCCAGGAGGCCTGGGGGGCGCTCTCCCTCAGGATTAGTGACAACCGCTGGCGGGACACTAATGCTGCTGGCTGCAGCGCTGATCAGCTAGGCTGCCAGAGATGCTCCAAGAGGAAAAGACCCAGCACCCACCCACAGGGAAGTCCAATTCCGGGGGGCCTGGCTTGGGTCATAGTGAGGTGTATAAAGCATGTCGTGGTGACAGTCAGCCCAGGGTCTACCTCATGTCAGACCCTGTGCGAGCAACCTGACACTGCTCTTTCATTTATGTCTAACACACATATTCAGTGGATCCTGATGATCACCTTGCGCATTACTGCTATTATCATCGCCTTACTCACAGTTGACAAGGAGGCACAGATCAGTTAAGTAAATTGCCCAAAGTCACACAGCTATTGAGAAGCAGAGCAGACATGGCAACCTGGGCATTCAGCATCCAGAGACCATACACTAATGACTCCTGTAAATCCCTTTAGTGACTGAAAGACACAACACAAAGCCTGTTCTTCAGCAGAAGAGATCACTCCTTCTGCGTGTCCACTGAAGTAGCTGGGCACGTGCTCAACAGCGTTTCATGCTTGACCGACATTTAAGGAGATGAAAGAGAAACCCCTTCCTGAAGGGCAGAGCCCCCTCCTGGCTCTGAAACCTGCCCTTCCGTGGGGACCGACAGAATCACCAGGGTCACCTCAACAGCTTTTGAAAATCTTGACTATGTTCAGAAAAATATCCCAGTCATAAAATCTAGCTCTCTGGGTGCCTTGCACCCAGGTTTTAGAAGGCCCCCTGGAGCTGGGGCTCAGCACCCCTGCCTGAAAAGCAAGGGCAGGCGTGCCCACAGTCCTCACCCGCCCACTGCTCTGCCCTTCGTGAAACATACACCCACTCGTTCCACCCATACAAGGGATGACGCAGCCAGAAGGCAGAAGCCCCCTGCTGTCACTGCCAAGAGCACCCAGCTCCCCGCGGCTGTGAAGCTCCATGATGACCATAAGGGGAGCACTGGTCATTAACAGCTTACAGACACCCGCTAGGGAAGGCGGGGGGGCTCTTGTGGGCACAGGGGCCCACTGCCATTAAGGGACGTACAATATTTTTAGAAATATTTTAACTTGTGTTTCTCATTCCTGATTCTCCATCTCCTGAGATACTTGGAAACCAAACTGGCTGGCTTAGTCTCAATCAGTGATTCTGGAAGTGGGGTCTATAGACCATCAGCACCCCAAGGGAGTCTGTCGGGAATGCCAACTGCTGTCGGTCCCCAACGGACCTTCTGAGTGGCAATCAGGCTGGCATCACCTTCCAGGTGATTCTAAAGCTCAGGGAATGCCAAGAAGCATTGTTCCAGGCATAGCTCTTCTCTGAGAGGCTCCTGGTCAACCAGGACGCCAAGCACTGATGGCGAGGAGTTGGATACGTGGAATCAGACTTGCACAGGCTGAGCTCAGGTAGGGGAGCCCCCCTGCCCCCCGCCTTACCGCTTTCCCTGGCCCAGCCGCCAGCTGTCTTCACCTCCCAGGAGCCCGGTCTCCTGACGCCCATACCTCCCAGACGGAAGTCTGGTACCTCCGAGGGTTACAGATGGGTGGAATGAGGCCTACCCAGCCGGCAAGGAGGATCCTCTCTCACCTGTTTGAGGTTGTACAGTCCATGCTTGTCACAGTTGGGGATGTGCAAGGAGTAGAGGTGTTCCAAAGGACCGCGCTCGTCTGGAAGGCGCATGGTGGAGATCCGCTCCAGGACCTGGTCCAGTTCCTGCTGGCAGGGGGTCTGTAGGCACCAAGGGACAGGCCGGGAGTCAGGTCACTTCGAGTAAGGATGAGCTCAGGAACACTGGCCTGAGTGTGACCCTGGGCCACACTGGTGCCAAGAGCACAAGCAGAGAGAGGGTCTTCCCCAAGGTCACGCAGGCAGCTGGTGGGAACGGGGACTTGAGACAGCATCTTAGTGTTCTCGCTGCCCCTCATTATGCCCCTTGCTACCCCCTAAAGAAAGTCACCCCAGGACTGAGTTTTCCCTGGTCTCCTCGCTCTGGGACAATGGCTGTGTGGATCAAAATGGAATCTACCGCAAACATTAAACACAGGCGATGTCTCTAGAGTATCTCTGCACCACTTGATGAGCACTGCAACTTTTCATAAACCACGACCCACGAGAGCAGAGCTAAGCAGCAGAAAGCAAAGTGGGAGCAAGCTGAGTGGGTCCGTTCTCACCTCCAGCTTCCGTTTTCTCAGCCTATGTCCAGAAGCCACACAGAAATGCACAGATTTCAGAAGGAAGAGGCTTTAAGAAACCCTGCACACAGTCTAGTTCACAGCCACAGACACAAAGGCTCCAGATGATGATACTGTTTGGCCTCAAGGTCACTGGCTTGTTAGCGGCAAAGCTAGAAAGCAACGTGCTTGCCTGCTGGCACGGGATATGCATCTGTGGCATGTGTGCCTCTTACTGGGGTGCCCTCCCACTGGGAGACCCCCCCTTCCCACATCCTCCCACCCGTCGGCCGGGTCCAGCCAGGTCCAGCCCCCTCTGACCCGGGCAGGGGGCGGCCGCAGCTTCTTGGGCTCCTCCAGGCCAAGGTGGTGTTTTCCGCCTTTGCCCATCTGACGGTGCTGCTCGGTGACCTTCTCCCGAAACACGGCCAGCTCCTTCATGCCCTTGATGGGTTTCCGGCCAGCACTGCCTCCACCTCCCAACATGTTCAAGGTCCCGTCCACGTGGTTCTCAACCAGGCCTCCCTCGGAGTGGTCATCGCCATTGTCTGCAGAGAAAGGGAGGAAGAAGGGTTGCAGGGACAGTTCCCCAAGACGGAGCCACCAGGAGCAGCTGGACCCACGACGATGACAAAGATAGAGCTGACTCACATCCCAGGAATCGTGCTAAGCAATTTACATGCACGATCACTTTCTTGTTCACAGTCACCCCAGGTCAGTACTGCGCGTGTGCTCACCACCTTCCCCTGATGAAGAATTGGCGCCCACGGAGGGCAAGTATTGACCAAGATCAGAAATCCAGGATTTGACCACAGGCTGCGTGATTCCACAAAAGTGCTTGGATACCTGCTCTATTCTGCCTCCATCCTGGGAGGCAGGCCAGGAGCAGAGACGTCCAGGGGGTGTCTTTGAGGTCCCTACCATGGAATGGGGTTCAGTTCTTTCAGGGGTTCATCAGAAAGACTTCCCACATCCACCTGCCACGAACCCCCAGTTCGAAGTCTTCATCACTTGTGGCCTGACGAGAGCACCACTGGCTCGTTTTAACATTCATGCCATAAAGATCACGCTATGCAGCGCTATGCAGGGCTGGAGAAGTTGGGGGTGGAGGGTCCAGATTCTAGTTCCCAGCACCTCCTACTACTGTTATCCCTCATTTACATCGGTCCCCCTCCAGGGGGAGTCCCCCTAGGGTGTCTTGCCAGTGACTGATGTGTTCCCCACTGCAAACCCCCCCCCCCCCCCCGTTGCACTGAGTCCCAAGAACAGAAACTATGACCTCTTGACCTTGGTCATTTATCTTATGGCTCAGCAGGTAGCCGGTAGCCTCATCCAGATGTTTATCTAAGAAACGACCATTAAGTCTCAACTTTTTTAACCACCAGTCACCAAGGAATGGAGGCTCCGTTTGTGGGTGCGGCCCATGGGAGGGGGCCTGGGTGCAGCCCCAGCTACCAATCTGACGCACAAGTTTAGGCATGTCCAGCAGGACAGGCAGAGGAACAGAACAGAAGGGTGTGGAAGAAGCGTAGCCCGGGAAACAAGTCCCTGCCAGTTCGGAGGGCCAGAGTCAAACAGCCCCTGTAGACACAGCACAGCAAACAGCCAGCCCATGCGGGGCCCCCTCCTGCGGGGCCCCAGGAGAGCTGAGGAAAGGAGGGCCGAGGGCGTGTCTTTACATAAATCTTGCCCATTTTCTCTTCCCCTTTAATGCACCTTCAAAAACCTACAGCCCTGATAACACAACTAAATGGCTCTTAAAAATCGTTTTCTACACAAGAGTTTTAGGTGAGGCACCCAGTGCTTGGAGAGCTTCAGCATACAGCGGGATGGGATGGGCGGGTTGTGTCCTGGGCAGAGCTGCAGGGTGGAAAGAGGCAGTCTGAGATCGGAGGCACTGCCCAGCACAGGGGGCTATGACACCCCCTGGGTGCGGGTGCGCTGGGCGCTCGCCAGCAAAGGGACGGGCACCTCTCTGGTCTGATGGGAGGCTGGCGCTATGGCAACCCGACTCTGCAAAGCAAGCTGCGACAGATTCCAGGGAACCGTGACCAGGCACATCAGGGCCCCAGCACACGAGGGGAACCCACAGAACTGCCCCATCCCCTCCACACCTGCGACCTCACAGCTGTATGCACCCTCACATCTGCAATGAGTGAGCTCTGGTGAAGAGGGTGTTCTGGGGCTAAATCCAAGCTCTGCTCCTTTTTACACCAGCTCTACTTTTCCCTACAACCTCTCTGTCACCCTTCTCTTAGCTAGGAGAATAGCTCCGGCTTCCGGAACGGTTGTACATGTTGTAATAAGGCAGCCGACACACAAACTGGGATACAGCCGCTCCCTGCTGTGTGACGGAGGTGATGACACATGGCGGGGACCTTTGTCCCACTCTCACTACCCAGCGAGCAGCAGGGCCGAGGGCAGGAGGCAGGAAGACAGGCCTCAGGGCCTGGTCCTTCTGGACCCGCACATGGACAGCCAGTCCCGACAATCCCACAGCGCTGCTCGGGAAACCTGGTTTGGGATGTCTGAGCTCCTAAGCCCCCACAGAATAAAATCAACAAAATCAAAAGCAGAAAGGAAGACATGTGGACAGTGGCAAGAAGCATCAGATGCCAGGGAGGAAAGAGGATGCAAAAAACCTAACAGGCGAACTCTGGGGCCAACGAGGGCCTGGCAAACCACCACACCCCATATGCTGTGCAGCCCCAAAAGGGTCATCCAGATGTGGACGACACACTTGAGTATCAAAAGCGAGGAGGAGGTAAAGCTTCAAGTATTCAGAATTAAAAATAAAGATTTCTAGTCAAAACTGCTAAGCTTTAGAAAAACTAAAATTTTTATATTTAAATGAATGAGCCTTTGGAAACATAGAAAATCCTCCTCTCAGGGGCTGTTTCCCCCGGGGCTCGGGGTGGCCTGGGCTTTATGATCAGTAAACCAGATGTTTCAGGAGCTGCAGCGCCACCCACAGGCCAAGCCGAGTAGCGGCATTTGCCACTCAGCTCCGTGGGAGACATTGACTCCCACATTCATGACACTACTTTCAATCAGACTCCTCAGGCCACCCCAAACTTTCCTCAAACGCTCTGCCTCCCCCTTTCTGCTCCTCGAGAGGCTGAGAACACGGAAATCCATGCACCTCAGAAGAAGCGTTCCCAGCGCGCTGGTTCGGCTGCCCACCGCGTTCCCAGGAACCGGGACACAGGAGCCCAGTCTGCTGCAGTTTCTGTCCCACCACATCCCCACAGGCTGAGTCAGGCAGCTGCAACAGCTGTGAACAAGATTACCCCCTCCACTCTTCAGATGCCAGAGGTGGACGGCAGGAGGTTGAGGAGAGGGGCTGGGGAAAGACTGAGACAAAGTTGGGTAACTACTAGGATGTCTGATGCCCAGTGGTCCACCTCCCGGCTAAGCTCAGGAGCACCAGGCAGCCATGAGCACCGGGGAGGGGAGGGAGGCCCGCCCATCCTCACCGTCTCAGCTCTCCTGCTGCTCCCGTCCCTGCAGGTTTCCCTGCACATAGACCTGGGGAAACAAGCCTGGGCTCTCCATGCCTGGAGGCAACGGTACCCACCCAGAATCATTTAAGAAAGACAAAATTGCACCTTCCAATTGCTTCACCCCTTGACCTAACCCCTTGACACTGCCCCTGCCCGCTGGCTTCCTGCCGCAGCGGAGAGCTTTCTGGAGACCCCAATACCACTTCCAGACTTGAGCCCAATATTGTGCTCACGTGGTGATTACAACAGCTGAGGACTCTGGAAATCTGCGGGCATGCAGACTGCCCCCATTCCAGAACCATCCACTGTGCTGTTGGGAAGCCTGCAATTCTCAGGAGGTCACCCACCTGCTCTTCTCTCCTGGAAGGTGACTCGTGACTCGCCTGCCCGCCCCAGTCACCCCTGTGGCCGCACCACTTTCTCTGGCTGAAGAAGAGAAGGCCAGCCCGTGTTCAGTCCTATCCCGGAGCTTCTGGGAAGGATCCACTCACCTGAGCTCAGTGCCTGCAACATCCTCTGCCTCAAGGCCTCCCGGGCTCAGAGCCTGGCTCATTCCAGCTACAAGTCTCCAGGGTGGTACTGGGATGGAGGGTGTTCACCCCAGGCATCCCAGAGGACTCTCAGCCCCCTACTCCCCTCATCCCTAAGTCCTCAGGGCTCTTGGGCCAGACGGGGCCTAGGAAGCATCTCCATAAGACAACCTATGCGTCATGCTCTGAACAAGACCCTCAGAAAGCTCTGGAAAGGCTTCCACACAGAAACACGCGCCCTCAGCCCACAGGCTCCAGCCAGGCCCATCCTGGGCTCATGAGATGGGGGGACGTTTCCATTTTCTTCAAATGGCTAGAAAAAAAGGACAGGTCTTCCTACACAATACTGATACATTTTCAGGTATAAAATATGACTTAACGTCTTGTTTACAGAGGAAGGGATGCAGGGGTCTTAAGCTCATGCATCTTAACACCCAGGTCCCCAGAAGATGGGCCCAGCAGGCAGTGTCCTCCCAGGGCCGAGCCAGCTTGCTGTCCAGACACGGGGCCGACCTCTCAGAGGAGAGGCTTTTTGCCACTTTCCCTGAAGCCACCTGCATTCAGCTCTGCTCCGTCTCTCTGTAACAGGGGAGCCCCAGGAAAAGGGGAGGTTCCAGGTTCCCTGCCCCACCAAAAGGAGGGTGGAGCTGAGCAGAGAAGAGAAGAATCTGGAGAGGAGACTGAGGAGGAAGGAAGCAGGGTGGAGGCCAGAAGGAGCCCTGAGGGAGCAGAGACCTGTGAAGAAGGGGCTCTTGTCTCTTGGCCCTGGACTGGGTGAAACAGATGTGGGTGGGAGACCCGTGGGGAGGCTCAGTATGGCCGCATTTATACTGATTTTGATTTTGCTCTTCTCCTCCCAGACTTGTCTGGCCATTTCTGACCCTTTTCTATGGGTCCCCGCTGGAAGGTGCTTTAGACTTGTGGCAGCTTTCAGACCTTGCTTTGGGCCAATCCCTTTTGGGTGGACTTTTACCCACAAGGGGACGGGTAACTTCGGGTATCTGACTTAGAAACTCTATTTTTTGTCTTTTCTGTGTTGCACACTAGTTATATTAAAGTTCCTTTCCATTAAAGGTCTTATATGTTTTGTCTTGATGGGGCGGATAGCAGAATGGGCAGGTTTGGGGGTTCAGAATGGGCAGGTTTGCCCTGTAACACCTCCTCTGGCAGTGGTGTCCCTGCCGACAGACAGACCACAGAGATTAGGGAACCTCAGGCTGCTTTGCTAACGCACATGCAGAAGTCCCACATCTTGGAGTGGAAGCCCAGGGAAGGGAAATGAGAGGCAGCCTGGGAGAGACAGGCGAGGATGGTAGGCCAAGAAAAGCCTTGACCCTTTGTCGTTCAGGCTCCAAAGTCTAATCCCCTGGGCTCTGAATCCCAGTTTCATCCTTAACTGTGCAGCCAGCAACAAGTCACTGAAGCTCTCAGTGCCCCATTGCTCCAGGGGAAATGCAGAACAGAAGCACCAGAGCCTACAGCAGCTGGAAGATGGGGCTGGGGGACGATCTGCCT